GTGGTTTAAGCTTCCCTATTGGCAAGCACACTCCTTTCTAGAGTGTCAATGGGCAAGACTCCTGAATCCTCCTGGTGGGCGCAGTTCTTTGTCCTGCATGCTGAGCCCCAGGAGGAAGCAGAGAAAAAGGCAGAATTTGAGATGGGGATCAATAAAACCAAAAGTAACCTAGAAACTGAAAGTGATGGCGAAAGATTCTGTTTTGGCCACGCAACAGCACACTGCTGGTTGCACTCTGGACTCATTATTGTTCTGTTTGATCATGTCCGTTGTGTTTGGCCGGCAACATTTGAATTAATTACCTGACAGGGATAAATAATGTGGATTACATCAAAGAATGGGAGACACATGCTGTCTTTCAGCCAGATGATGTTTACATTTTGTTGTTTTACACCCAACACTCCCACTCTCCCATTAATGAGATGTTGCAAATGCACACTTAACCATTTACCTCTATTTCAGTATTCTATTTTATTTGATTGCTTTGGCCATTTTCACAACAGAATCCTATGATCCTAAATGTTGAGATCAAAACCTCATCTAGCATGGAAACATCTGTCTCAGATTTGGTAATGCATCAGATGTTCAAAAGTGATAAATAATGCTGTTAAACTAATAAATTATCATCAAAGCAAACTTGTGTTTTTCATTGTGAATGTTAAATTAAGGTAAAAAAAAAAAAAATTATGATAATAAAATAATAAAAAATAGATTTAGCCTCTCTAGCAGCATGGCTCTAGGGATGGCAGTGTCGGTCAGTCAGTCCACAGTTTTGCCCAGACTAAAATATCTCATCAACTAACGGAGTGATTGCAGTGAAATCTTGGCACAGATCCAATGTGCACTTAACTATAAATCTATAGCCAGTTAGGCAAGTAGCCAGTCGACGTTCCTTGGCTTGTATACATCGTGGTCTGCATTGGGTTGTTGATATTATCTCGCTGCCAAAAAAAAAGTAGTCCAGGTGTCAAGAAAATAATATATGTTTGCTTCTCACACCAGACTTTACCTGCTAGGGGAAAAGAAGGAACCCCAGTATTGTCCTGAGGACACTTGTACATCAGGACAGAGGTGGTCTCCTATCTCTCAAATACAGATGCTGGTCCTGTTTGTTTGTCCTACATAAACTGTTGATTTACACAACATTTTCCGTTTTAGTGATCACCCTTACCTTTGTCAAGGTCAAAGCAACACTTTTACTGTAAACTATGCATTCAAAGTGAGTAAAAGAGGTCAGAAAGGGTTATACAGTAGTGCAGGGACCTCAAACTGCCAGCCATTTCCAGCCCTCCATCCCCGTTATCAATAATATAATATAATCAGCCCACAAGATTTTCACATCAATTTGAACTCTCTCTTCATATCAGATAAAAATACAATTCTATTTTAAAAAATATATTTCATTTGGCGAGAGCAGGTTGGGTTGTTTGGCTTTACAACAAAGATTATATAAGATAATGACATGAAAATAATAGAAAGTGCTGTTTACAAGTATGATATTAGTGGCCCTCCTATGAAATGACAATAGCAGCAGTGGGCCCAAACCAATTTGCATTTGAGACCTATGCAGTAGTGGGTGTTTGCATAAATCAGGGAAAGCTGATGCTAAATATTTGTGTATGTGTGTGCATTTCGACTTTGTGTGTCTAGATGAAGTCACATTTGTAAAGTGGATCTTTGCTGTTTTTGTTGTCACAATGAACTCTTACAAACCTTCTTCTCTGCTGGTTTGGCTCATCGATGAGTGTGTTTGCGTATGTGTGTGTGTGTGTGTATGTGTGTAAACTTGCATTTGTGATTGATCCTGTGATTTAGTGTGTGAGAGGAAGTGTGGGCTGAATGCGTTGACCTGGTTATCATGTTGTATGGTGCCTGGGAGTGGAGGCAGGGTGATACAGGTTTTAGAATGCGAGGTGCCAATCGAGCTGTGAAAATGGGAATTGAGAAGGGAAATGGGAATAGCTCCCCGCTGGTTTGTAACCTTCGCAATGTTGTTTGGAGCATTCAGCGTATGCATTCATCATTCATTCAATCAAAATGTGTGTGTTACGTGGTTGTCCCTGTGGTAACATTATGTGATAGGGAGCGTCTTTTCTCTATGTGCATGTCTGTAATTGCGTATGTGGGGTAGTGTGTATTTATGACAGCATGTCACACCGAGTCTCCGAGCCCCCCAAGCCTTGGACCTGAATTGAATTAACCTAAATAAAGTGTAGTGTGCAGAGTACAGAGCACTTGAAAGGGAACAGCTGAGGGCTTGAGCGGAGGACTGTCGGAGTCTAAGACAGGATGCATAAGCATAGCAGTGCTATGCAACGTTACTCTGTAGTAAAAAAACACAGATAAACGAAAGCTTGTGACAGTTTTTGAACATTGGACACAATGGTTAATGTGCTACGCCCCTCCCCGAAGGCTTTCAGACAGAGAAAGAGAGAGAGAGAGAGCGAGAGAGAGATGGAGCCAGTTCTGGGATCCTTGGCCGGCCTAGATAGCACAGCAGCACAGGCAGCAGCAGCACCCATTAATGCGATTACAGCTTTTAGCGGGAGATTTTCAGGGCCAGTTTTCTTTTGAAGCGTCATTAGTTTGTCCTCTTTTCTTGTTCTCCACTGGTATGTCAGCAAACAAATGTACACATTCACTCCCATAAGCAACAGAAAACTAAATACTGTAACTGCTTATATACGCAACCATGAGCAACACATGCACACACACACACACACACAAGCATCACACATGAATATATGAATACTTAAACATGAATATAACCTATATTTACCATGGCATATCCACACAGATATGCCAAACCACCATCTTACATTCACAAACACAGAGAAAAAGAGAACAAGCATAATTAGTCTTTATTTAAGAGATGATGAATTATTATTTAGTGTAGTTGGCAATTCACAGGACTTTCTACTATGCAGTTTGAAAAACCTTATGATTAGCAATCCATGATGTGCATTATAATTCTGAAGCTTCTCTCATTATTCTTTGTAATCAAACTATGATTCCACAAAGACTGTCCTTTAATTTAAAACCCACACTTCCTGTCCATTAAATGGTGCATTGCTGTCATTTTGGGTCTCATTTCTTAGCGGATTCTCATTCGGCTTGTTTAACATGTCTGACTTGTGCGGCTATTTAACAAACCTTGAGGTGCTTCTTAGCTCCTCACTGCAGCGGCTTCGTTTCATAAAGTCACCATTTATTAAACCTCAAGGCTAGACCACAGCAAAAGCCTATTGTGATATTGAGGTCATCTTGCAGGCAGAGGGAGAAAGAGATTGTCGGAGATAGAGGGAGGACACAAGCTGAGGTATCTGGTGTCATGCTGTTATTTGGCAGAGTTTAGATGGACAGAGCCAGGTATGTTAGTGGGGAGCGGTCTGCCTCAGTGGGAAAATATCACTGCCAGCATATAAGG